CACCCTGATATGGCAAAGGGGTCTAAGGAGACCCTCCTGGGGCTTGCTTTCTTCCCAACCCGCTTGCCCTCCCTGGGGCAGCCCCGCATCCCCCTGCAGGGGCAGCTCCTGCTCTGCAGCCCCTCTGCTTACAGGGTATGCACCCCGGGGAGATCCTCCCCCGAGTTCAAATGGTTGCTTTTTAGGGAAAAGAAATCTTTCCTGGGGTTTCTACATACAGGAATCCCTCCTCAAAATGAGGTAGTTCAGGTTTTTCCTGGAATCCAAAGTGCCCGTTTGTGCTCATTAAGTTGGGTTTTGTAAACTACACTGGGCAGCAACGCGCTGCGAAGGGGAAACCCCAGCAGAGGTGGCTGAGGATGCCAAACAGCAGCGGCAAGCTGCTGCCGAGAGGACACGTGTTTTAGCATGTTCACGCACATGCAGCGAGGACCAGCTTTTAAACTTAGACAAGTGTCACTTACCTGTTTTATTTTCCCAAGGGCTCCACAGAAATTGTGCTGAAGACTCGAATACTCATGGCTTTTCCGCTCCTCTGGGTGGCTGAACTGGCTGAAGCAATAGTAACTCCACAGCTGTGTTGCAGCAGTTGGGTTAAGCCATCGTTTGAAATGCCGCCTTTAAGCAATGAGGTGGGTCGATAACTGGCGAGGCACGGAGCAAACGTCGCCTCCTCCCCGAAGCGCTGTGAAAGCAGCAGCAGCTCTGGGGATGGCTACAGAAGGAGGTGGTTGTGATTCGGGGCGCACTGAGCAGCGCAGGACATCTTCCCCCGGAGGTGGGATGGACACGGCGCGGGGCAGGACCAGCCCAGCCCACAGGCTGCACTTCAGGCTTGGCCAACAAAGTGGGTGGAAGAGATGGGCTGACCCGGGACTGTCAGCCGGTGGCAGAGCAACACGCCGCTGTGCCTCCTCTGTGGGCCGCATGGCGGCCTCTCTTCTGCTCTCCTGGGAGTGCTCTTCTCCTGTGGGGCCAGACGGACGTCCCTGGCTGCCGACAGCTGAAGGCTTCCCAGCAGAGCCCAGTGCGCCTGCACAGGACACCACATGTGCCTCCAACATCAGAAGGATGTGGACCTGTTGGAGCAGGTCTAGAGGAGGCCCTGGAGGTGCTGGGAGGGCTGGAGAACCTCTGCTGGGAGGACAGGCTGGGAGAGTTGGGGGGGTTCAGCCTGG